ACAGGGAAGCTGGTCTGCCCTCCGCCTTAGCAGTGCTTGTCGGGGGTCCACTGTGGCCTGCGGGCTCTGAGCAGGGAAGAGTGGCCCCATTTTCAGAAGAGGGTTCAGGCTGTTGGGGTGACTCTGACCCCGGGCCTGCGGGGAGTGACCTTCCACACCCACGGCTCCTGAGTCACGGGAACGGCATGTGGTCCGAGGTGTGGGGCCGGCTGCCCTGAGCCACGCCGGGCTCCCTGGAATGCTCGGGCGGGGCGGCTGGGGTGCGGGCCCCGGGCCACCCCCTTGGCCTGGACCCCGGCCCGACCCAAGGCGCACTCTCAGCCACAGGCTCCCCGAGAGCACTGTCCTGCCCCGGCACAGACCTGGAGTGGGGTGCAGGGAGGGAAGTTGGGGAGCAGAGCGCCGGTGGAGGTGGCCTGGGAAGGAAGCTGCCCTGGCCGTGGGGCGGGGCCCAGACATTTCCCCGTTTTTTAATCTTTTTTTTTTCACCCAATGAGAGAACCTCACTGCATTGTATCATCAACGCATTTCCAGAACTGCTCGCTTTCCCTCCGGAACCAGAGCGTTCACCCCAGGGGCGGGCCTGCCCGCCTCTCCTTCCCCCCGAGGCGGAGCGCCGAGTCCCTCCGGATCCCAGGCCCCGGGAAACGCGTTCATTTTAGTAGCGAGCAGGGAGTTCACTTGTAAGTCTGCAAAGAAGCAGCCGCGACCCCGCCGTCCGGATTCTGGAAGGAGAGCCGTCCCTCGAGTGGAGCCGGGCGGCTGGAGGGTGCTCTGAGGAGGCGCGATTCTGCGTCCGTGGAGGAACCGGGGCGGCAGGCTGAGAGCTGCGGCCCGAGACAACACGGCCACGTCATGGTGTCTGTGAAATGTGTGGTTCTCACGCCAGCACCGAGTCCTAAGTATAGTGACCGTTAAGTCTGAGGGGAGATGCCTGTTTTGGGGTGCCGCCACATGCCCATGGGCACCCGGTGTCGGGCTCGGGGTCCGATGCCCTTCTGCTCCTGCTCACATGTGAGCCCTGACACCCGTGGCCTCGCCGCTCCCAAGTGGCAGGGGAGGGTCGGGCTCGACGGCGGGCGGGTGGGGGCGCCCCAGTGATGACCCCACTCTCCTCCTGCTGCGCCCTGGACGGGGCCGGGCAGGCAGTGTGGGGTGGAGGAGGGGCTGGCTTCTGGGAAGAGCTTGCAGGGGACCCTGAGGGTCCAGCTGGTGTCCAGCGTCCCCCACGGGTGACAGGGGGCCGGCCCCACCTTCCTTCCCCTGCGCCGCCCACGAGGGAGGAGTCGGGTCTCTCCCTGCCAGTAAAGCCTGATGTCCTCATGTGCCAGGAGGTTCGCCAGCTCTTGGGGCGCTTTTGCCTCTTGGGTGCTGGTGCTGGGCACAGCGGTGGGTTTCCCTGTGGCCCGGGCGCCGCTGCGGCAGGAGGTGGGGAGGGGGGGAGGCTGCCCCCGGAAGCCCAGCTGCAGGCCCCGCGCAGCCTGCTGAGCACGCGCAGAAGAGAAGCGGCACGGCAGGGGGCGAAGCCGGTGCTCTCCAGGGAGCACAGGCCCCTGTGGTGAGAGTGGGCCTGGGGGGACTGCAGCGGGGAGACCTAGAGAAGGGGTGACCTGTGGGGGGACTCACGCGGGAGGATGCTGGGGGAGGCTCACTGGGCGAGGACCCGGGGGAGGACTTCCGCGGAGGAGGGTTCACAGGAGGGACTCCCCCGGGGAGGACTCACAAAGGGGAGAATCTGCAGGGGAGGACCTGCAGGAGGACTAGCAGGAGCAGGACTGTCGGGGGCAGGTCCCGCAAGGGAGGACCCACAGGAGGACACACAGAGGAGCACCGCAGGGTGGGGGTGCCGGGTCGCTGTGGACCTGCTGGTTGTGACAAGATCCCTGAGGTCTCTGGGAGGGATCACACAGGCCCCGAGCAGAGAGGCGCCGTCATTAATCCAGCCCCCAGGAGCCGGTGGCCTCGCCCTGTTTCATGCCGAGCCACTGACATCAAGTCACAACTTGACGCTGGGAGCTTCTGCAGCAGCAGCGTCCAGCGGGATGACTTTAACCGTCGGGGGAAGTGATGAGCTCATGTTAGAGAGAGTTCTGGGCCTTCCGCGGGTCAGGTCGGGCTGGGAACGTGTCGGCGCCCCATTTGTCAGCGGGGAGCCTGTGCTCCCAATTTCCATTAAGTGATTTTTTTTTTCCAATTTAAAAGTAAAGTTCAAGTAACCGTTTTTCTGAGAATCTTGGGCTTATCACTCCCAACCTTACTTTTCTGGGGGGGGGGGTATATTCTGAGAGTGTTTTCTTTTCAGTAAAGTTAGGAGATACCGAATTATCAGGCTTATTTTCTGGGAATTTCTTGTGTAACTGAAAAGCCATTTTCCCTTGTAATGCTGTGTTTAGCATAAAAAGGCCTGAAGGACCTGTTTGGGCTGGCTGGAGGGTTCCTTTGTTTCATGGTAGTTGTTTCCAGAAATAGAAATTTTAATTTTGCAATAGCTCACCATGTTGTCACGCAAATCAGTATTTGCTGTGCTCCAGGTTCAAGTCCCCGAAATGTGACGACCCCTGACTGGCTCCATGGTGCTCTGCCCCCCGGCTGAGTGCTCCCCTTGGATTCAGCCCGGGTTCCCCCACCCAGGGCTGGCTACTCCCCACCCGGGGCCGGGCCAGGCCACACCCCACCCAGGTCCCGGCCACTCCCCTCCAAGGACCAGGCCACTCCCCGCCTGGGGCCCGGCCCCCTGCTCTGCTCTGACATCTGACAAAGCGACTTTCCCACTAGTTTAATTACCCGGGTTTTCAGTGACTTGTTTCCTTTTCCTTTATTTCCCCTTGCGAGGTGGAGCAGCGTGAAGGCTCGCTCGTTTGCATGCCGATTGCGCTGCGAGGTCACAGGCACCGTCCCTCCCCAACATCATCTGTCACAGCTTGACCTCTTTGCTGAAAGTTGCTTCCTTTTTCAGACGGCACCTCCGGGCGGAGGCTCGTGTGAGTGGAGCGGAGGCTCGTGTGAGTGGAGCGGAGGCTCGTGTGAGTGGAGCGGAGGCTTGTGTGAGTGGAGCGGAGGCTCGTGTAAGTGGGCTTCCGGGCACTGCGGGCCAGCGGGGAGCGCCGTGCGCCGTGGCGGGCCAGGGGCCGGGTGTGGACGCTCGCGTTGCTCTGTGGCCTCGTTCACGCGCGCTGGCAACCCCGGAGGCTGCTTCCCCTTTGGCCACTGAGCCTGACTCCAAAGGCGCGTCTTGATGAGTGCTGGAGGGTGTGGTCACGGCATTAGTTTGCCTTTTGCTTCTGGTAGAACTAGCACAAGCTATGAGAGAAGCTGCTGGAATCCCAGGCGCAGGAAGTGTGGGCTCCGAGGGGCTGAGGAAGTGGGCTGGTGTGTTAGGCTGGCTGGGCCACACGTTTCCAGGGGTGACTTACCCTCCACAGTGCGTGAAGGCGAAGGCACAGACCCTGCTCTCCTCCTCCCGGGGCGGGGAGCAGCTGGCGCCGCGGCCACGACGGGCCGATGTCTGGATGCCCCGCCCTCCCCACCCTCCCTGCCAGCCACACACTAGTCCTGGCAGCCCTCGGTGCCCAGGTCACTGTCCTGGTGTCCCTCCTGCAGCGCCAGGCGCGCTGGCGGCACACTCCCTGGTCTGCCGTCCCGGCCCGGTCTGCGGCCTCCTTCCCACACTCGCCTCTCTTGCCCAAGCCCTCGGGTGTGCGCGTGCTCAGCCCCTCCGTGTCTCTGGGGCCGGGACGCCTGGTCGGGGGGTGCCCCTGCCTGGCCCTCCAGCTCCTGTCATGGGCGGCCTCTGCAGCCCGGCCCTTTGGTGTGCAGGAGGTTGCATCTGGGGAGTGCTTGCACTCCCTGCACGGGGGTGGCCGACGTGAGACCCCCCTCTCCTCCATACCTCTGGGTAGAACGTTTTCACTCGCCTGAAGGTCACGGGGCGATGGAACTCACGATGAGTGATTCCTGCTCTCTTGCATGATGCCAGCGCCGGGAGACTGAGGTTTTGGAGACTGCACCGTAGCTCAGAAAGGTGCACGTGTGCATTCCCGCCCCACGGGGTACGTGGGGCCTGAGCAGGGCCGCGGCGGCAGCCGAGCACCTGTGGGCCAGGGATGCACGTGCGGGGTGCCCGCCGAGGCACGGCTGTGCTCCCCCTGAGAAGCTGAAGTGCTTGTTCGTCTGTTTCAGCGGAGATGGGAGATGCACTGGGGGCCCCATCCTGCTCCAGGGGGCTCGCTCTGGGGTGGGTGCTGCCCGAAGGCAGCCACGGCCCTTGGTGAGGCCGCCGTCAGCGTCCCACGAGTCCCTTGGGACCGAGGGCCATGGGCACCGAGGCAGCTGGCGGGCACCCCCAGGAGGGAATTCGGGGCTCTGTTTCCCCTCCAGTTTCATTTGCCGTTTCCATGTGGCGTCTTTGGAGGACTTCAGGCTTTCACACAGCAGCAGCGAGCAGCATGGGGCACCACCCCGCGTTGTGTGGCGCCTCGGAAGGTCGCGGGAGGACGGGGTGGTGACCTGGGCTGGTTGTGTGTCTGTCCCGGCTTCTGTGTGTCCCGTCACACGGCTGGTTTGTGCCTGGGCCGCTGGGGCAGAGCCACGGGCTGAGGTGGATTCCCGGCACCGGGGCCTTCTGGCATTTCTTTGTTGCGGGATCCGCCCTCTGAACCAGCAGCGTAGAGAACTAGAGTCGCGTGGAAGGAAAGTGGGGTGTTCGGGCAGGGATGCTTCGCCCTGGTTTTCCAGGGTCCGGCGGCGGTTCTGGCCGTGGCTGGCCGGGTGGGCGGGAGGACGTGCGGGCTGTGCCCGCGCAGAGGGTGGGGTCCCGGGGCTGCGGGGAGCAGGTGGGCGTCCCGGTGGGGCTCTGGGCTTCCTCGCTCACCTGAGGAGGCGCAGGCCGGCACGGCTGCCCGGCAGCCCCTGGACAGCTCGCGCCTCCCAGCCTGCGCGGCGGTCCCCGAGGGGCGGGCACCCCTCCCCCGCGAGGCCTGACCCTCTGCTCTCTCTTTCAGAGTAGAGACGCCGGCTGCCCCGCGTCGGCAGCGGAGAGAGACGTGGGACGACGCTCAGCCTTTTTTTTTTTTTTCATCTGAAGCTGCTCACACTTCCCTGGGGCGTCCGTGCGCACTTGGGGCGCGGGGCAGGAGGCCCAGAGCCCGCGTCCCGCCCGGCGCCCGCCCCGCGCTGCTCACACTGTGTCTGCTCTGGCTTGTTACGGAACGGGCGAAGAGGTCAGTGTCCGGAGTCGCGGCGCCCGGCGTGGACGGCGGCCGTGTCCTCGCTACCCCCGCACAGCGGGCGCCCGTGGGTGCGTCGGCCTGACCGGCGCGCCCCCAGCTACCACAGTCCTACCTCAGTTCCGGGGAGCGCCGGGCGCGCGTGGGGGCCCCCGCGCCCTGAACGTGTCTCCGGGACGGTGTCGGCTGAGCCGGCCCAGTGGGCCACGCCGGTGCGCGGGTTTCCCCCCGGGTGCCTGCGGGTTTCCCCGGGGCCCCTGTGGGCCGCACGGGCCCGGACGTGAAATCCGGCATTGGGCGTTGAAGATGGACAGACGGATAACGATTATTCTGGGACCGCGGCAGCCTCTTCTTGCCGTGCTGAGCGGGGCGGGCGGGCGGGAGGGCGGGGCGGAGGGCGAAGCGCTCTTCACCCTGACGGACTGGTTGGCCTCGTGTAGACGTGTAGGTACCTCCGTGCAGACGCCTGCCCCCGCCGCCCGCCCGGGCGTCTCCGTGCCCTGACTCTGGAGCTGGCGTCCACTGCACCAAAAATCCTCGTGGGCGTGCGCCCTCGGGGGCGCCCGGCTTGGCGGGTCCGGGACGTGGTATCTTGACCCTAGAGCGCTCCTCGGCCAGGGAGGCTGCATGCGCGACGGGAAAGCAGACACACAGGTGACAGGCCCTCCGGCCGGTGGGTTCGTGGGAACGGAGAAGGAGGAACCCCACAGGGCGTGTCCCTTGGCGGAAGACCCCTGACAAGACTTCCTCGCCTCGGCGTTTTCAGTGTTCTGGAAATTTCAGTGTTGTGGCGACGATGCCCGCGTCCCCCGCGCCTGCCGACCTGGACAGCGGGTCGTCCGTCTTGCTGCTCGCCACGCGTGCTGGAGGGCCGCGGCCGCCGGGGCGTCCCGTGCCTCTCGGAGAGTCAGCAGAGGTTACACTAATTCATCGGAGACGTGAGTTTTTTCTGTTTGTTGGTTCTGTTTGGGTTTTTTTTTTTTTTTTTTGGATAAAAATATATATAAATATATAGATATATATCACTATAGAATAATGCATTAATAAAATGAGGCTTTTCTAGAGGAAGACCAAAAAATTCAATGTCTTAAAAATATATTTCATGGCAATGCAAAAGTCTTCCTGCCCCCACGCTCAACTTCTAGAACAGAGGATTGTATTGCAAGACAAAGTTGAATGTAAAGTGACCCCCCTGAGCATTTTTAGCCTTTTACTTTTCTAAAGTTACACATCACAGCAGTGCACAGACCCCACGCTGTTCGTCTGAAGGTCAAGTCAGTGTATCATACATATACCTTATTTAAAATGTATAAAATGTCCTCAAGTTTTGATTGAGTTTTGGGACCCGGAGCTGTCGGGTCTGGCTTGCTCCGTCACACCCCCTGGGGTCCAGCAGGACCCCCGACGGCCGGCTGCCGGGGGCGGTGTGTCCACGAGGCTCGTCCCAAGCGGGGGCCTCCGCCGCTGGCTCCCGCTGCGGTCAGCCGAGCAGGAGAGTCCACAGTAGACCATGTTTTCCTCTATCCTGTACATTTCAAAAAAGGCATATGCAATATATACATTTTTAATTTAGTTTACAGAATGGAACCAAAATGTATGAATGTTATGTTTGCTAAAACTTTACGATGTATATTGGGTCTTTGTACATTTTGCCTGACTTACCTTAAATTTAAAATATTTTTTGCTATATGAACTTTAACAGTTATTAAACAGTGTTTCATTTGGGTACGTATTGTTTCTGGATATCAAGATGTTCAATATATTTCTTGCTAGGGCAGCAGGACAGAGACTGAGCTGCTCCCGCCCTGTCCTCTCTGTAGCGCTGTAAATAAGGGTCGCGTGACCCTGTGGAGACAGAATAAATGGAGCTAGCGTAGTGTATTGTATCTAGTCTGTATTGATCATGGATGCTCCCCTTAATAGCCATATGCAATAAAATAAAATACATTATTTATGAAATGAACAAAGCCTTGAGGATTTTCTGTGTGGATTCTGCGCTTGACACACGCTGGTGGCCGCTTGGGAGAAGGCCTGTTGATGTTCTGCTCCCCGGGACCTTGATGCTTCTTGGTTTAAACGTTTTGCTCTGGAAACCAGAAATACGTCCAAAGTCACACATTTTATCAAATTTGTGTTTGTTTTGTTTTGTTAATGTTTACTTTAAAATCCGCCCACGGGTGAAGCTGTGCGGCCTTTGTGTTTCTCCTTCTGACTTTGCCGAGCACGACCCCCTCAAGGTCCATCCGTGTCGTCACCAAAGGTGAGATTTCTGTTTTCATGGCTGAGTAGTATTCCACGGCGCACAGGCCTCGTCTCGTTCTCCCCAGCTGTCACTGGGCACGCAGGCGTCTGTGTCTTGGTTGTTGGGAGAGAGGGGATTGGGATTTGAGTCCCTATTTATGACACCAGATCTTGATGCCCCGGTTGCAGGACGGAGGGGCCTGATCCTGCCTTAAACGCAGGTGCCTGTCCCATGCCTGCCAGAGCGGCTGCCACGCTCTTTGATCTGCAGTGCCTGACGTGTGCTGTTCACACCTGCTTGGTGGTCTCTGCTCGGCGGGCACCTACTGGGCTGACGGAGAGCGCCGGGCTGTCCCCGCAGGGCGTCCTGCTAGGCTGTGGCTCCTCCGGTTGCTCTCTCTTGCCTGCCCCCTCCAGCTCTGGCAGCAGGCCCCTTAGTGGCTTCCTGTGCCTTCTGCTAGCTCCTCCCCGGCCTCTCGCTGGGACCACTTCCCTTGTACCCGCAGCCCTGGCATCCGCGGAGCCCTTGGGCGCCGCCTTCTGGGGCTCGGTCTGCTCAGCTGGAAGCGTCCAGAGACTGAACTATGGCTGCGGGGTCGGCCTCAGCAAAGGCCTGCATGCTCGGCCCTGCAGCTGGGTCAGCGCGGCCCCTCCGTCCAGGTGCCGGCGCTGGAGGTCGTGTCTCTGGGCTCAAAGGATGTTGGTCCTTTCATGTCTGAGTCTTGGTGTGAGTCTCCCTTCTTCCTGGAGGGTCAAAACGCCTTCTTCCCCTGCCCCGAGTGCTTCCTGGGACGCCCGCCCCGCCCTGGCTGCGGAGGCTGTGGGTGGAGCGGGCACCGCCAGGAGGAAGGCCGGGAGCCGCCCCCGCCCGCCCGCCCCTGCACTGCGGAGCGAGGCAGCTGCTCCTGCTCACGCTTCACCACCAGGCGGACCCTCGGCCACATCCTCGGAGGGCGCGGGTTGCAAGCCCTCCTGTGTCTGGAGGAAGCGTGAAATATTGGCCATCTGTGCCGTGGACGCGATGCACATACTCCCTGGCCGCTGCCCGGCTCCCTGCGCCCTCCGCTGGCCTGTGCCTGGAGCTTGTCCCCTCTCCAGGCCCCCAGGGCCCCGAGTCCCACCACCGTCACCAGCTGTGCCAGGACACCCGTCAGGGCCCTAGGGAGCCGCACACATGCTGCTGGCTTGCAACGCCCTCGGCCTGCTGTTGCCCCCGCCGGCACCCTGCCCGCTGGAGCCAGGGCGAGGAGCTGCCTCTCTGCCCTGCCCTGGGGGGCTACCAGCACCCCAGCCCAGACGCCCAGTCCCGGGAGACCTCTGTCACCCCGGCGAGCTTGCCCGGCTCTGCGGGGCGATGCCGGCGCCCTCCCTGGCCGGCAGCCGAGGCCGTGAGCGCTGCTCTCCGAGGGCTCCTTCCTCCATCCGGGCTGCTCTGGAAACATTAGCTCTTGGCTGGCAGTCGCGGCTTCCTGCTTTCATCCGCTCGGCCGGCAGCAGGGACATCCGGCCAGGACCCACCAGCCCTCCAGGGCAGCACCCAGACTCCCAGGGCGCCATGCGGGGCGGGGGGGCAGGGGCTGGGGGGCCTCGCCGTGCCGTACCCTTCCTGATTATCCCGGAGCGGTCCAAACTTAATGGATTTTTGCAGACTCCGTCTGAATGGGAGCCACGGGGCACACATACAGTTGTGCACATGGCGTGTGTGTCAGACACTGCGTGCTGTCGATGTGTCACGCATGTGGCATATAGGAGAGCTTGTCCCAGTGCGTGCTTCTCCCGCCCCTCTGCACAGTACAGGCGGGCCCGGCTTGACGCGGGCACCGCCAGCTCCACACACAGCCGTTCAGTTCCCAGCACGCTCACGAGAGGCGGCTCCGGTGGTGCCCCCGGGATCCCCGGCCCCCCCAACCCGAGCCTCCCTCTGGCAGCCTCCACAGGCTCATTGAGCACAGCAGGCGGCAGCCAGGGATGCCCTTAGCCCTGCCTCCTCCCCGCTGCGTCCCAACAGGAAGCAAAGCTGCTCGGTCCTCAGCCTCCCCTCCTCACGAGGCTCCCCTCGGCACGCGCCTTCGCATACACCCTCAGAGGCTTCAGAGGTGCGCGGTCTCCCTCCGCTGGGTCTGCACCTAATTACCTGGTGGTCTCCAGGCAGGGCCGAAACATGCCCCAGGGCACGAGGCACTCCAGGCCCCCAGGGTCAGGTCGCAAGGCCAGCTGGTCGCCTCCGGCTGCTTTGGAGTAAGTCCCCACGAGGGGCTCCCGCCTCCCGCCTCCTGCCTCCCGCCTCCGCAGTCCCAGCTGCGTCACGCGCTTCTCTAAGCGTCAGAGAAAGGTTTTGATTGTGTTTCCTCTGCGTTCACGTTCAAGCAGAAAGGCGCGATGACGGTCGCTGAGCTGCACCTCTAGGTTGACAGCACGCACTGGGTAGCTGCCGTTTTCTACCTAACACGCCGCCTCATTTGTAGCCAGAGGGCACGGGCATCCCTCCGGCTGAGCTGCCCGGGGTGGCGGTGGGTTTGCTCGCGGAGGGGTCGGCGCTTAGCCACGTGCCGGCGAGCCCCTGGCCCTCCCAGCACAGAGGACGCAGCTGGAAGCCGGCCTCCGGGCCTGGCAGAGCGCCCTCGGCAGGACTGGGCCGCCTGGCACCGGGCCTCGGACTTCCGGGCCCCAGAACCTCGAGCGGAGACCGTCTGCGTATCCGCAGCCCCCGCCGCTCGGCCGACGGTCACCGACCTTGCCAGGCGCTGGCGCAGAGCGCTCCGTGTCGCAGCTTCCCGGAAGCCGCGCCGAACAGTCCAGTGAGCTCCCCCCATGCCCGGCGCTCGGCTGCGGGAAACACATGTGGCTGTGATT